AACTTCCTCTGTTTATAATGCTTGTAGGAAACATGCAGGTAAATATCGCATTCGAGATTTTTATCAACGTCAGAAACTTGCAAAAATTCAGGCTAGTGATGGGCTAGTGATAGGAATACAATATGTATGATCATTTATATCACTTGATTTTTTTCATGCCCGCCTTCTCATAAATTTGAAGCCAGAAAAACAAAGTATCCTATTTATCTTTTTCTGAACAATGTGAAGAAATGAGAGGGTGAATACTATTTGTTTTTATATCTTGTATACATGTTCGCACCTTCAGTGCTCCGCAAAGTATGGACACTATTTGTTTTTATATCTTGTGTACATGCTCCACACCTTTGATGCTCCGCAGAGTGTGAACACTATTTGTTTTCATATCTTGTGTATATGCTCTGCACCTTCGGTGCTCCGCAGAGTGTGGACACTATTTGTTTTCATATCTTGTGTACATACTCCATACCTTCGGTGCTCCGCAGAGTGTGAACACTATTTGTTTTCATATCTTGTGTACATGCTTCGCACCTTCAGTGCTCCGCAGAGTGTGAACACTATTTGCTTTCATATTTAGCGATCATATATGTGAAAAATTTTGTTACCCAAGATGCATTCCAAAGGGGTTTCAGATAGGAACGTGCCAAAGTAGAAAAATTTTTTTACTATTGGGAAACAAGCGATTTCAGAATGAAAGCTAACCAAGAAAATGAATTGGTGATCTTAGGCTTTCAAGTAATATTTCATTATAAATTTGATATGTAAAATACGATATAAGAAATTTGTAATACCCAGGATGACCTTCTAAAGGCATTTGGGCTTTTTGTGCCAAAAAGTCCAATTCTATACTACTGTTTACATAGTAATCTAAAATAATTTACTTAAGCTTTATAATTTATATAATAATGTACTTTTTATAATACTAAAAATAAGATAACTTAATTGATTAGGATTATAACAATATGTTTATTAATAATAAGAAAAAGAAATAAAGAAAAAAAATAAGAAAATAAGAAAAAAATTAAAAGAAACTAAAAGTGCTAAATACATAAGTTAGGCTAGCACCTCTAAAAGTACTACTAAAGATACAGTTCATGATATTAATATCCAGAATTTATCATGACATATAAAAGTATTGCAAATTTTATTACTTTTATTTCAAATTTATAATATCAATAGCTTATTATATAAAAAATAACATATTTAAAGAATTAATAATTTATCATATACCTATTTTTTTCTATAATCATACTAATCTGATCTGATATACTATTAGCTAAATTAAAGAAAATGTTTTGATCAAGATTTTCCCATTCCCTCTGAATTATGCTTTGAAAAGCATTCGCACTAAGTATTTTTTTTTCTCTAATCCAATCATTAACCTTTTCTTCCACTTTTCCTTTAAGAATTGCCCACAAATTCTCGATTGGGTTTAAGTCAGAAGAGTTAACAGGCTAATCAATCACTGGAATATTATTCGTTACAAAAATTTAACAGGTAAGCTTCGCGGTATGGGTTGGTGCATTATCCTATTGAAAACACCATCCATCACCAGCACGGTTAGCATTAGGAAGCAATTAAGATCAAAGAATATTCCGATATTTCGCAGCATTCATCTTTCCTATAAATAATACCACACCAATTGGTCCTTGATGGCTGAAAGCATCTCAAACATGGACTTTATATAGATGTTTTACCATAAGACATGATAGACGTGAATTACCAATTTTGTAACGTACAAGTTAAGTATTGCAGAATGTTTGAAAAGTACTTTTGTCAGAAAATATCATATAAAACCAATCATCTTGGCGATAGTTTATGGCCCATTGAAAATGAGCTTCAATATGATTTGGCTTAAGAAGGAAAACCGTTTGTGATCGACAAATAACATAATTAAGTTTATTTTTAAGGGTACGTTAGACAGTTCGAGTTGATACGTTAAGTTCTGGATATGTGGAATTCAGCTTTGTTTCATTAAAACTGGAGTTGTTATATTATTGACTTGGAGAAAACAATCAAAATATCGGCATTTATTGGGGGTGAGAAGAAGAAGATGACCAGGACAAAACAAATGCTCAACATTTCCTATTTCTTTTAAACGGTTGATAATATCATATACTGTAGACTTTAGATATCCAGTTATTTTAATTATTTTGGCGGGCTTTCGTATATTATTAAACCATAGTTTCTTTACAGTTAGTCGTCTTGTCTCAAACACTGAAGTGAGCACCATTTATTATGAGTTGTGATTGATAAACAGTTACACAAAAAAATTTGGCATTTATATTTACGTCTAAAAATAGCTAATGAATTGCTATTTTAAATTTTATTAACGTTAGACAGAAATTGATGTGACAATACTTTTTTTTGTATACTTAATAAAAACTCTGAAAATTTATGTCGCGAACTGTATATCTAAAGTAAAGCTAAGATAAAAACTAAAAGTTAAACTGAAGTTTACATAATTTTATCATTTTTTATTTATATTAAATTTAATATATAAATAGATATAACAAATAAATTAAATATGTCTAATATATCCTATTTATTCAATATATCAGTTATATTTTATTTATCAAATATATCCTATATGTCAAATATGTTCAGTATATTTAACATTTTAATCTACAATCTTCTGTATCATATTTATTAATCCAATCCAGTTATAATACATAATACTAATTTAAGTCTATGTTAACTTGTCATCTTTATAATTAAAGTTTATTATGTAGATTGATATAAGAGTCTTTTTTGATTATTAATAATTCTAGTTATTCTTGATTATTATTATATATGAAGTAGTGATTACTAAAGTATATTAGATATCTGAATCTATACTTTTATTTTTCTATTTTATTTAATATGAAAGTTATATTATATATATTTTGTAGCTTATTAATTAATTCTATGCAGTTATTGTGTTATTTACTATTTTATTTCTTTTTTTTGATAAAGGTTTTTTAAATATGAAGAAAATAAGTTTTTAATAGCTTATTTGTTTAATCATATCTATTAATATTTTTTATTATTTAAATTATTTTATGCTATGTAAGACTTCTTCATATCTTATAATTCTATTTGCTATTTATTTATTATTATTGCTTATCATTTTTTTAATGTTTGTAAACTCTATATGCTTATTTTTTATATTTAAAATACTTATCATTTTATTTATGAATTTAGTATGAAGTATTTCTACTATAAATATTATATAAATCTTTCATCTTTATATCATATAAAATACTTAAAATACTTTATAAATTTGATTTTTTTTAATTTTTTATTTTTGAGATTATCTCAGTTATATAGGTAAAATATAAGGAATACTCTTATTATGTATCTATTATTTAAAATTTATTTATAGAAACTCTTTGATAACAATATTGGTTAGTTGTTACTTTATATATACTCGATTATCTTATTTATAATAAATTTTGTTATACTGTAAGTTTATACTTAAAGATATAAACATATTAAATATTATATACTTATCATTTTTTTCTTCATCTGAATTCTCTTTATTGATTTTTTTCCTACAATGCAGAATCTCTATATACAAAATTAGAAAAATTTGAATAAAATTTTTTTCTATAATTAATTTTAATAAAATAAAAATATATTATCTATTCAATATAAGCAATCTATTTATTAAATAAAAATTTTCTCAATTTTATTATATTATATAAACATCATATTATACATATATTAGCTAATTAAATTGTAAAATTTGATAAATTATATATATAAAGTAAATAAAAAATTATAAATTTATTTTATTAGTATTTAACTCAAATTTATTATAAATACTATCAGAAACTCTTTTTATATAATTTATATTTTTTAACAGCAAATTCTACTAATTTTTCTATAATTTCTTTTCTATAAATATTCATATACCTTTAAGATTTTTAGGTATAACACTTAATAGTAATTAAAGAAACTGAATCTAAAGCTTTAGATATAGTTTTTTACAGACTAGCCTAAGTATAATTATAGTATTCTCTTATATATTATTTAGATGTATCTTAATACATCTCAATATAGTTTAATTTATAATGATATTTAGAATAAAAAATGCATTTATGTTTATATTTTTCTATCTTTACTTGAAGTTTAGATTTTTGTATTAAGAAGTTTGATTTAATAAAATATAACATATATAATAATCTATTTGTTATAAATTAACTATTTTTGTATTTTTTTTTTATATAATTTATAATCATCAAAACTTTTTAACTCATAAACATACATTATTAAATCTAATGTGATAAAATTTCTTTTAACAATTTCTTTAATATCATTATCAGCTATTCAAATATACCATTCTTTATGAAGATTATTTTTGACTAGTTTATTTATTGCAATATTCAATGACTAACAAATGCTAGTCAACCCATTCAGAATTATTACAAGATCAAAGCTAATTTCATAAAGCTTTCTTTTTATTGATTCTTCTAAATAATCTTTAAAAGAATCATATACAAGTATTACTAAATTTCTTGAAATCTATTTTTATTCTTATATTATTAAGATAATCTACATACTTTACTATTAAACCAGAGTCCATTCAATCATTTTTTGAAATCAAATAATAATACTAGAAGAAATTTATTCTTTGTATGATATTCATTTTTTTTTGAAAATACATATTAAAGAAAATTTAGTTTTATCTATAATAATGAATTAATAATACTAGTAAGTAAATTTCAATTTTATAAAAAAAACATAATAATTTACTATCATTATAAATCATTTTAATCAGCTAAAAAATACTGTATCTTTATATTAGTTAATAATGAATATTAACACATATATATAGAATTAATATTATTATATGATAAATTTAAAATTTTAACTATTAATTTAAAATATTAAAGAATTAAAAATTTAAAAATTTTTTAATATTCACATTATCACATTACTTTTATAACCTATTTAATTTTGTAATTAAATATTTATAATAAAAATTTCTTATATAAAATCTATTATTATTTATTTCTTAATTACTTTCTTTTTTTAATATTCTTTCCTTTTTTCTTTACAACACCTCCACTTTTAACTTTCTTTTTAATAACATTTCCGACTTTACTTTTTTCCTTTTCAACACCTTTTTTCTTTGGTACAACAGTAAAGGCATTCTTTTTAGTAACATCAGCTAAATCCATTTCAAATCCAATTTTATTCTTTTTCTTTTTCTTTCCATCACCTTTCCCCTTTTCCTTTGTCTTATCTTTTTCTAATACTTTATTTATTTTAGTAGGTTTTTGAGCCTTTTTAGCTAACTTTATAGCTTTCAAATTTTCGAATTTTTTATGGATATTAGAATCATCTTCACGTAATTTCAACTTTCTTTTTTTAACTCTTGACATACCAGCGTATTTATCTCTTTTAATTTTCTTTTTTCCTCCTTCATCATCTTCATTCCTTCTTCGTTTTTTAACATCAAATTTTTCATTATACTCTTCAACAGAAAGATTTTTTGATGATTGTTTTTCTTTTTCAGTTTGAAACCAAGTTCTAGCAGGTCTATTCGCAATTTCTTCCTTATATTTGATCAAATTCTGGCCTTTTAATAATTCCATTTCAGTTTGTTTAATTAATTTTTCTTCCTTTTCTTCTTTCAGTACTTCTTTTACTTTATCTTTAATACCTGCTAAATTTTCAGCATATTCTTTTATTAACTCTGTATCTATATTCCTTCTTTTAATTTGTTCTTTTTGTGAATGTTTTAACACCATTTTTAATAATTTACGATCTTCCTCTCCTGTTAATGTAACGGATCTTTTTATCAAAAACAAAATAAATAGAAAAAAAATTTTAAATTATATATTTGTAAAGTATATTAAGATAAATAATGTTACTTACCGCCCATTTCTGCCTGCTCGAGCAGTTCTACCAACTCGATGAATGTAATGATCATAACTTTGTGGCATATTATAATTAATAACTGTTTCGATTCCTTTAATATCCAATCCACGTGATGCTAAATCTGTAGCTAATAAATAATCTACTTTACCATCACGAAATGCTTCTAACGCTTCCAACCTCTATATAGAAAAAAAAGATTTTTTTGTTCCCCTTAATAATCAAACCGAAGGAAAAAAAAGATCCCGTTGTCATTCGTATAAAACTTACTTGCTCTTGTGAAAGGTTACCATGTAATTCAGAAGCTTTTAACCCAAATAATCCAAAAATAATTTTCATTTCATGAGCAATCATCTTTGATCTAAAAAATATTATAACTTTATGTTTAAAATATTTTTTACATAAAATTAATAATATAAGTTCGCGATTTTTTTCTTGATGTTCTCTTATTCTAATAAATTCTTGTATTAATTTTGCATTTGTTGCTTTAATGTGATCTACCATTAATTTTACTGGTCTATTTAACGATAATCTTATTAATTCATCAATATTATCTGTCATTGTCGCTGAAAATAACATTGTTTGTCGTGATTTTGGACAATGTTTAACTATCTCATTTAATTCATCTGCAAATCCATCTTCCAACATCCTGAAAGAGAAAGAAAATTTAACATTATTTCAAGGAAAAACATGCGATCGAAGGAAAATTTAAGTTTTTTTACCGATCAGCTTCATCTATAATTAGAATTTCGATATTTTCCAGTGAAAAGGATACAGAATTTCTTACGTGATCAATAAGTCTTCCTGGAGTCGCAATAACAATATCAGGACGTACCCGTAATTCTGTTTCCTGTTTCTTAAGACTTAACCCACCTATAAAAGAAAAGCACTTTAATAAAAAGTTTTCTTGCAAAAACCTCCTCCGTTTAATACTAACCGACACAAAGACATAAAGTGATATCCGTAAAAGCTGCTAATTTACTAGCAACACTATGACATTGTATAGCCAATTCACGTGTAGGTGCTAATATGAGTACTCTAACTTCTGCTGTCTGTCTTGGTCTATATAATAACCTTTCTATTATTGGTACTAAAAAGGCTATAGTTTTACCACTTCCCGTTATCGCTCCTCCACAAATATCTTTACCCATAAGTGCAATTGGTATGGCTTGTTTTTGTATTGGCGTTGGTTGAATAAATCCTAAATGGCTTAATCCTTTCAATATTGGTCTTGATAAATTCATTGTTTGAAATGATTCTGTTGATGCCAAATCTTGATTCTGTATTATTTCGGATTTATCTGCAAAATATGCTTTCTTTCGCTAAATCAAAAGTGAAAGGTAAGGCAACTACGATTGAATATCAATATCTTTCAAATATCATATTTGTATTAATTGCAAACCTCTCTTTCATATTCATCATCTGTTTCACTGCTAACTGTGTCATCCTCATCCACGTCGTCCTCATCATCATCTTCATCAATGTCTTCATCATTCATATCATCCTCAGAATTAGCATCCTGTTTCTCCTTATGTTCATTATTTTCCTCCTCTTGTTCAGAATCACTAATTCCTTCCTCATCATCAATAACATAATCTACACCACCACCAAATGCAAAGGGATCATCTTCGTCTAAAAGGAAAAGTTAATAAATAACACTTCTATAAGAAAATGATAAATATAAATAGGAAATGAAACTTAGTTAATACCACTGTTTTCCTCATCTTCGTTTTCAGTTTGCTTATCTTTATTAACTCCATTTTTTTTTACAATTTCTTTCTTTTTCTTACTACTGACATATTCCTTTTCTAAATTATCATCGTTCTCTTCCGACATGCTCAACTCATCACCTACTCAAAACAATAAAATTTATCGAAATTTTGAATTCAATATATATATATATCGTAAATATAACATACCATGTTTTGATTTAGTAATAACCTTTTTATTACCATTCTTATTATTACCATTTGCCTTAGCATTTTTCTCTTTCTTCGTATCTAATCTCTTCTTTTCAATTATCTCATCAATAGTTCTAGATGTCACCTTAATAAAAAAAAAATTTTTTAATTTATCAAAACTTCGTTTTTTTTTTTTTTTTTAAAAAAAAAAGGAATGAATAAATTCTCGTTTTCGTAACTTACAAGTATTTTCGGTTTAAGACCAGCTCTTGCAGCACTAAAATCCCATGGATGTTCGATTGAATTATTAATTCCATCGATAAAGAATGTAAAGTCCGGATTAATAATATCATTCTCTGTGTTTACATCTTTTTTATTGATTTCCTTTTTATCCTTTTCTTTTTTAGTCTTTTTTTCTTTTTTGTTATCACCCTTTTTATTTAATTTCTTATTATTAGAAGAACTTGTTTGTGGGTTATCATTAACGTCACTACTCTCTTCTTCTGGAATAATGACTTCAGTATCATCTTCAATAGTCAATACAAAATCATCCATATTTTACTTTATATTACAAAATTTCCGTAAATTTCAATTTTTTAAAACTTTTAAGGAAAAAAAAAAAAAAATCTCTTATTTAACTAATTTTTGATTGGGTGATAAATTTCATGGTAGATCATGCATACTAATTGTGATGTGCTAACTTCATTCTTTAATCTACCTAAGGAACGTTCGCCAGTGACCCTCGAAACAAAAAATGTCAAATTTAAACATATAGATCGCTATGAAGAAATTTATTGACTGAAATATACGTTCAGATGATACAATGAAAGTTGTATGGAATGTGCCGACTTTGAATTTTACCTCTCCAACAAATGTCTGTCATATAGAATTTTCTTCAAAAAAAATTTGATATTATTTGTTTCTCTTAATAAAATTTACATTTTTATACTAGTATTTAAATTTCTCTTTATTTTATTTTTTAATTTTGTTAACTGCCCAAAATTTCCTAAATGCCTAAATGAAACAAACCTATATATATATATTCAATCAAACTTAGTATATAATAATTTAAATAAATTTTCATGTTCCCGTTCCATAACCTATGTGTCGTCTACGTTCTAACAACTCCCTTTCTTCCTGGTGGTTTAGGTCTGGAAAACGACATTGGTGCTGTTTCAGTTGTTGGATGTAATTCATCCAAAATATAAGATTTAGTAAAATCTTCCGGATCATTCGTTTCCAACTATATAATGAACAAGCTCAATTAGCAATTGCTTAAAAAAAAAAATTTGTTTAAGCCAAGATCAATTACCTTTTTCGTGATTGAAATGCCGGCCTCTTTTTCCGCAAACGTGATCACAGAACCTCGACATGATGAATACAACATACGTTCACGAATTTTTGAGTTCGGAGGACAAGTATATATGAAAACTAAAAAACATGACGAACATTTAATATTTTAAAATTATTGAATTGAAATCATAAACCAAGAATGGAAGAATTACTATTGGAGATAACATCCACCCCGTCGTGTGTGTGTTGATAAACGTAAAAAGCATATCTTGGAGAATCGGTAGGGAAAGATTTTGCAAGGTTGTCGATGTTAATATTAACGGTTTCATCAAGTTCGATCGTTTCTTTTTTGATATCCAAAAACTACGTAATAAAATAACCACCCAAGTTATTATAATTCCAAAAATAATTTCTTAGAGAAAATATCATGTGCTTACTAGTTTCACAAAATTGTTTGTCAAATCAGGTTGTAGCAAACCTTGTATGGCTTGTATCGCTTCATCGGACATGGGGAAAGAAATTCCCGCCGCATGAGATTTACGTGTTGAATAACTGAATGCATTCGCATTAGCCTATAATATAAAAATCATATGGTAAAAAGATTGTGTATCATTGAAAAAATGTTCCTTAAAGTAACATTAAGTCTCAATGTACCTCAGCAGTTTTCACTTCGGCTAATTCTTTTTCACGCTCCGTTAATGGCGCGTCAGCTTCCTTATGTCGTCTATGTTTCTGGTATCCTTCCAACGAAAACTCGGCCTGTTTGAATAGAGAAAGAGAATAAATAAAATGACATCATCAATGTTGAAGGAAATTCACGGATGTTTTAACTCACTGTTGTAGTACCGTACACAGAATCAACGAAGCGGGAGTCACCTAACTCTTTTAGTAATGTCGCACGTGTCGATGCGTACAACATCTTATCTCGGACCTAGGTTATATCATTCGTGATGAACATTTTTACAGATACGTTTTATTAATGTCAAAATTACCTTAGAAATATCAGGAACGTAGGTCATAAATATCCATTCATAGTCTCCTGTCGAAGATTTTGAATCAAGTCGATAAAGGATGTAGCAAGGTGTCTTTTCTTCCAAGAAGTCACTAACTCCTGCAAAGTCTATTGAATAGATTAAAATTACACATTAAAATTTATAGGAATATCTACGAATTATTAACAGGTACTTAGAATCACACTCACCAGATTCCCAATTATCAGCAATTTCTTTTGTGCCGTTTGGAACCAATGATTCTATGAATTGCACATAATTATTTAAGTAATGTAATGTATTTAAAAATAAATTGATGCTAAAAATCACTCAAATGAAAAGTTACCATTAATAATTGATATGCGTAAAAGTCTTAAATTTTTTTCGGAAACGGCCTTTGCAAACACGTCTGCGAGTTCTTGCGAAACTAAAAGAGAAGTGAAAAAAAAACACGTTATTCAATGGTGTTTGACAAACGTGTTTAATATATGCTAACCTCGAATTCCAGATTGGTGAGACATTTTTGAAAGTAAAGGTGGTAACTTGAAAGAACAAGGAGCAAATTCTGGAATTTTTACGAGTCAGCTAAGTGGTCTTCTGATATGAGGATATTTTCATTTTTACAATTAATCCCAATTTATATATACTGTATGCGCTCCCCAAGTTTTGTGTCAACTTTAGCAATGATCTTTCCCTTCATTGATTGTAATGCTGTTCTGTATTTTTATTGGCTGGTAAAACATTAATAAATGAAATTGAAACAAAGCGTGACTTTTTTACAACGAGAAATCAAAATAAAACTACAATCAATGCCTGCTACGATCCAGATCCCGAAAGGTATGAAATTTTTAACCTTTGTAAAATATAACTTTTCTTAATTGCTGTCACATTATTTTGTAAAACCATCTTCCTCGAACCAATCGGCAGACCGTTATCTCACACCTCTTGTTAGATGTGTTTGTCAGGCTCAAGCCTGCAACCGATGGAACTTCCATTCAAGGAATATTATTTGGCCAACGTGAAGAATGTCTAAACCATGGACTAGTTATACACGTAAAGGTTGGTCTTTATCTTACGAATAATAGCTTGTAGATACTTTTAAGTCACTGTTTAATTTTTTTCTTTTACCCTTTTTTGTTTAACTATTAAGGGGTTTTATCCATATAAAGCCAGTTCGCAAGAATTAGATAGTACAATCGCAAAGTTAATGAATTGGAAGGGTCAAACGGTTCTTGGTTGGTTTGCAGTAAGTTACTTTTCCAATGTTTATCGGTTACCATTTTAACATTCTGCTTCGTTCAATATATACCTCATATTTCGAATATTAAATTTTTTTTTTTACACCAGGCTCCCGGATCAGATGTTACGTCGCGTTTTGAAACAGCACGCATAGCTTCAGCATATTTTCGCGCTATCCAGGCATCAATGCTGAAAGTTATTGTATATAATTTTCTCGGTCAACATACAGGTACCGAAATTATCAAGAATTATCAGTGTACTAATTTATTTATATGATTTATTACCTATCGATGATTGATTTATCTTCAATTATAATTTAGAAGAGAGTGAAGGAGAAGAAATCGTTCAAATGATCGTTCGAGAAGCTTGTGCCTTATTTCAAGACCTTATAGGATTTGTTGTTCAAAGACTACCTAAAACGCCAAATACATTGACTACTAACACAATAATGGACACAGATTCGACAACGAGTCAAGCATTTTTCTCGGCTCCAACATTTAATGAAGTGTTGAGTCAATTTCAAAATCTAAACCAAGAAACGAAAAGTGACATTATGGAAATGAACATTATGCAAGGTTTAATGGAAGGAGTGCAAGCCGTTAATGGTTCGGGACATAATGGCGCTTCAGTGAATAATCATGTCAAGGTAATGGATGATAGAGAAGATGAAGACGATGATTTAGGAGAGCTTTTCTCACTGTGGGGAAATGGTCAAGGACCAGCGAGTAAAAAATTAAGAACTAGGAGGGCTAGTACTACAGATATCGCTGATGGTCCATTAAGAAAGAGTTTATATGGAAATATTTCAGAATTTTTAGATGATATCCCTAAGAAAAGGAAAGGGTTTGATATAGATAATAATAATAAAAACGCAATAAAAAAGGTATTTTAAAAATGACCTGGAAAGAATGTAATTTAAAGACATACACATCACCAATTCTACCCCTTATTACCTACAGGCAAAACCGCCCACGAGCACTATTACAAACGTGATTCCGGCGCCATTTAAAGTAATTCCTGGTCAAGCTTCAGAATATTTTCAACAAGCTCACGGAGATGATAGGTAATGCGACGTATAAGTTCGTGTTTAAGAAATTTTTTTCCCTTCCTCACACTTTAATATTTTTAACTATATCCTTCATATTGATCTTACTCAGTATACACTATTCTTCTGATTTTGACGAATCCTTAATGACTTCCTACACCGCCTCATTTTTCGCTCCGATCAATCTCGGACAACCATCATCATCTCTTATTACTACATTTGCTCAGGCTCGAATAACGTCAGCTTACGACGCGATATCTCATCATATTAACTCACACACTCGAGAAAAAATTTCACGTTACGAAAAGTCGTGTCACGAATATGAGCTATTGTTAGAGATACTTGAGGCGTTAGATGGTGTTGGTGATGAAGTGGCACTTGCCAAAAAATTGGAAAATTGGGTTGAGGATGCTGAGGAAGAGGAAGATGACGAGGATGAGGAAGTGTTAGTAATTGATACCAACGCTGTGAGTGAAACTAGATCAGAGGAAGTAGATATAGAAAGTTCAGATAGTGAACCTCAAGACTCCAATAGTGATAACGATCGCGAAAACGAGAATCCAGCCGATACATCACCAAAAACTAAAAAGACCACAATTAAATGTTGCGTTGATAATGAGAACAAAAGCGAAGATGGAGAAATGGATGACGAAACTTCCTTAAGTAATAATAATGGAGTTGTGAACGGCGAGGTAAGTTCGTCATCTTCTATGGAGGAGGGCGAAATTGATGAAGAGGAGGAACCTGGCATTGCGTGGCAAACTAAAAATGACTGTGAAAATAATAAAAAAAGTGATGATCCATCATCGTCTCCTTTTCATAACAAAAATATCTCTCTTAATTTGTTGGAAGTTGGGAAAAAGACCACTAATACAAGGGACGATAGTCCTGGGTGGGCATGGGATGACGAAGAAATCGAAGATTAGATGTTTATGAGATTGAATTTTGAATACTTGTCGGAATTATATTTATATACATTATATTATTTTCATTTTTATTATTAGTATTGTTTGTTTGTTTCATTTGTACAAAACTTGAATGTTAATTATTATTATATTTTATATTTTTATTTTTATTTTTATTTACTTTATTGAACGAAATCATCTTACTTTATTTTACATTAATAGAATTCTTTGGTAACCCTAGCTCATGTATGCTTTTTGTTATCGGAATTAAAATAACAAAAATAATACAACGTATATAATAATAATAATAAATTGTCAAGACCAAAGAACAAAAAAGGGTTCTAAAGAATTTTTTTTTTTCTATTGGAACAAAATTTTGTTTTGGGATCTTTTGGATTATCAAAAATTTGAAATAATTCGTTCACAACGGGTAAGAAATTATTTATTAACTTTTATGAAAAGAGGATTACCAGTCTTATATTATTATTAATTCAAATAACATTCTTTTATTTAGCTTCTATTGCATTCGGTGTATATTTTTCTTCGTCATTATTTAAACGTAATATCAGTCACCGGACATGTCGCATTCATATTAACGTATAAACCCGACTACGAATTTTTAAGAATGTGAATTTTTGCGTAATAAAATTAAAAAGATAATTATCTTGACGATGCACGCTTTCCGATTTATTGCTCTCATCCAATAAAAGCAATAGTCTAGATCATTCGTCGGTGATTCACAGTTCATTTATTTTAAAATTCGGATTTTTTTAAAAACTTTCGGTGTCAAAATGATAACTATAATTATTACTGTTGACCTTAACTATCCGTGAAATTTACATCGCTGTAGTCACGTGATTGAATTTTAGACATGAAATCTAAATGGTTCATAAAAAGTTGTTTGAAAACGGTGTAAGTTTGTCAGAAAGGCTCAAAAGGAGACTATTAAATCTGAGATAACTTTCTTTGACGATGCAGCGTTGCAATAGCCTAATAGCCTGTAATTCTTTGTTCATTCACGAACAAGGATTTTTTTTATAGCTTACAATAACTATAAGGACATCCAACAATAAATATAGGAGATATCATACATATCTTGCCTTTTGTGAGTCGATTCAAAAATTTTCTTTGTAACAGTGATACTGGAGTTGGGAACAATTACAGTAATTTTACAATACTTTTATTAATTGTTCGCCGTGATATTAGTCATAGATATTATTTTCCGGGATCAATATGCCTGGGATATATCATCTGAAAATCGTACTAAATCTTAGGCACTTCAAATTTAAAAAAAATTATTGGCCAATCAATTACTAAATCATATGCATGTGATTTATGTATTAACCAATTAATCAACGGACCAATCAAATCGTGGATATAATTCGGCTTGATGTGGTATAAACGACAGTTCCTTTGAATGACGTCGCCTCGGAGCGTAGAAAATCTTTACGAAGAAAATCCTTAAATGTTTCTGGAGATATTTGCACTCCCATTAGAATCGGTAGCTCCGGTAGTCAAAAACGTATCGACTCCACATCAAAGAAATTCGATTAAACCTTTGGAAGTAGTCATCCTATTCAAAAGATACCAGTTGAACAAATGCATGTTAATTTTGCAAGATTAATGAAAATGGCGACTGATAACGTAAATTATTAATTATTATACTTTTTATTCATTATTCATTTTACATGCATCCTTAAGCTAAATTAAAGTAATTTTTTTTATTAGGAATTAATGCTAACAAAATTAATGCTAGCAATAGTTGGAAACTTGCATTAATTGATAATTTTTCATGAGATGACTTTATTGAAAGAAGGCGATTTAAATTTTCAAAAGGCTTCATATTGGGTGGATGTTTAAGATTTATACTTCACGCGTTAATTCTGTAGCAACATAAATAGGAAAAACTTTAAGCGGATTGGACAATAGCTCCAGTACTTTTTAATTTTATTTATTGTATCTATGGTATACATAATTCAAAGGAAATAACGAAGAGAAGATGTTGTTGATTCTGAAAGACGAAAGGTTAATAATATTATTACTTTGATGTTGTTAGAAATTAAATATTAATGTGAAATTTTTATAGACTACAAGATCGGAAACGACATTGGCTAAAGACTATAGTGCATTGATCGTAAATTTTAACTTAGAATTCCTCTTTTTTTTTAAAAGACTTTGGCAAAGGTGGTGCACAAGGTTTGCTGTTAACCACTTGTCGTCGTTGAATTCAATAGAAATGACGATGATGAAGTGTTTGGTAGGGATTATGATGATGAAGGTATTGGTATAAATTATGATGTTTAGGGAATATTCGATGAAGAAGACATGAATCCACATGCGCGATTTACAGAAACAGATTATGTCATGGCTATCGTCATTAATGAAAACGAATTGTTTTCATATTTTGACTCTGCTTTCTTACGTAATTGGGCGAATCCTGAACACTGGAAGATAAAAATAACTAATAAAAGTAATTAAATATCTGTTTTGTCATTTTTATAATTACAAATTTTTTATATCTAAAATTTTAATATTTAATTCCTTAAATAGATAAAGGAACTTCAGAAATTGAAGGAGAAAAGGACCGGGTTCTGTAGCTTTTATTGAATCAGAGGATATGGATGAGCGAATCATCTTTGCATCTGGGAGAAGTACGATAAAATGCGCCCAAGTTAGCATCACATGGTCATCTACTTCCCGAGATATGTATTTTTCGTCAAGAAATTACTTCAACTATTCTTAAACCTCTAACAATTTATGGTAATTATTTAGCTTTTAAATTTTGCTTTCATTACATGAGTTTAATAATTTGGAACGTAATATACACGTTTGATTGTATTATATTTTTTTTTGTAGTCTGACTCGAAACGCCAATATGAAGCACAGCCCAAACCCGAGTCCGATGATGGTTGGTCGCTTTTATAAATTATTTGTTAGGAATTAATAAGAAATATTATTTATTCGGACATGATCCTAATTATAAATTTTTAATAATAATGATAATATAGATCTTTAACTTTTTAAATTGATATTTATCTATCTACACTATGAAGATGGTTTTTACAACGAATTTGAGGGAAGAATTTGGTGATAATTTGGTAATTCAGACAAAGAGAAATTCAAATATGCCAAGAAAATATATCCTCAAAGAAAGATTAAATATATTACTGTACCGTTATGTTTTTTTAGTTGATTACATTTAGCAAACGAGAAAGGTCTGGAAATTTCAAATAATGATCAAAAAATAGTTAATTAAATTTTTTGTTTCCAAATTTGGAATTTCATTGGTCGTTTATAAACCACATTTTTATGATTCAATAAAATACTGAAAATACTGACCTTAAATTAAGCGAGGTTTTATTTTTAGTTATTTTTTTATTTAAAGAATCTTGTACGTAAAATCACAGTAAGATTACCGTAGATCAAATGCGCGAACCGGTATGTTTTATTAACAACGTTTGATGTATATCTTTACTTCTCGATTGATTATTTGAGGAAAATGCCGGTAAAAATCAAATTTACTTTTTTACGTCAAATTTGATTTTAAGGCATAATTCTTTTTTTTATTGTTTCCGACAATTTCTTACCTTCTATTGCAAAGGTCCCATATTATCTCCTAACTGATCAAGCGAAAAATAAGGATCATCCCTCTTCTATCAACTTCTTTATATAAGCTTTATGATTTTCAAATAAAAACTTTAACAATGGAAATAA